GTGAGAACTTTTTTATGATTGTGCCACCTAAGACTTTTTTTGGCAGTCGTAGTAGCCTTTTAAGATTTTGAACGTTTCACGACTTGAGTTCATTTGTTTTGATATTGAAATTGTAATCAGACAGCTGCTTCTTCTGTAATTGGGTGAGGTTTTGTGTGTGTGTTCTGTTTTTTTTATGGTGTTTTGTTTGATTCTGGGTTGTTTTTGGTCAATTTTGTTGTGTTTGGTTTGGTTTTGTGTTCTGGTGGCTTGTTACATAAACCCCCCCTTATTGTCAGTTGATTTGGTTCAAAATAAGTCAGACTAACTGAAATAAACCTGTCTTATTTGGTAAACTTGTTTTATGAAACAAGCCCCTTGTTTTGTTTTATGTTGTTTTGTATGATTCTGTGTTGTTTTTGTTCAGTTTTGTTGTGTTTGGTTTTGTTTTGTGTTCTGGGGCTTGTTACATAAAAAAAGTTTACCAAATAAGCCAGGTTTATTTCAGTTAATCTGACTTATTGTCAATTGATTTGGTTCAAAATAACTGAAATAAACCTGGCTTATTTGGTAAACTTTTTTTATGTAACAGGCCCCTTGTTTTGTTTTATGTTGTTTTGTATGATTCTGTGTTGTTTTCAGTTTTGTTGTGTTTGGTTTTGTTATACTGAATATACAGATAGTCTAAAGTCAGTCTTGACACATTCAGAATAAGAAAACAAATAAAAATATATTTTTTCATTTTGAATTGTCATGATAATAATAGTGGTCCACATTTTCAGTTATTTGTTTAGTCATGAATATAGGCAAATTTTATTCATTTAATTTAATTAATTTAAGCATCTTCAAACATTAAATATTTTCAGTCCGGTTCGGTTTCATTTCTCTTTTTTTTTTTCTTTCTTTTTTTTTCCCCGTGCATGGTGCCATTTATGCGACAAATGTTGTAAATGATTTGTACTGTATCATAATTATTTGAGTTTTCATTCATATTTTTGTGAACATTTGCCGTTTTAGTAACTAATTTTATTTTTATTTCAGTAGCTTTTTTAGTCTTTGTTTTTGTTAATGATAATAATAGTGGTCCACTCACAGTTATTAGTTTAGTCATGAATATAGGCAAGTTTTATTAATTAATTATTTTATTTATTTATTTGAATTATAACATGAAACATTTACAATCCGGGTCTTTTTTTTTTTTGCATGGTGCTATTTATGCGACAAATGTTGTAAAAATGTTGTATTTTGGGGTGTATTTTAACAAGTACAGTTACATGAGCACAGCACCAGACCTGCTGCATCAGTACTTTAAATTCTGCTGAGGGTTGATAAGCGTATGGCGTATGATAATTACCCATCATATTTCTCTCTCACACGTACTCTATTTAATTTGCTCTTCTTTTTAGGAAATGGGGAGCTGAGTAATAAGGAGTTTATCGCCATCATGAAACAGCGGCTGATGCGTGGGCTGGAGAAGCCCAAGGATATGGGTTTCACCCGGCTGGTGCGCGCCATGTGGAAGTGTGCCCAGGACACTGCCTGGGACTTTGCCATGCCGAAACAGCAGTAACGGCTGAGACGGCCGCCCGTCCGTTAATGTTACGCTCCATATGGAGTCTAATTAATCATTAAGGGATGAACAATTACCCATCATATTTCTCTCTCACACGTACTCTATTTAATTTGCTCTTCTTTTTAGGAAATGGGGAGCTGAGTAATAAGGAGTTTATCGCCATCATGAAACAGCGGCTGATGCGTGGGCTGGAGAAGCCCAAGGATATGGGTTTCACCCGGCTGGTGCGCGCCATGTGGAAGTGTGCCCAGGACACTGCCTGGGACTTTGCCATGCCGAAACAGCAGTAACGGCTGAGACGGCCGCCCGTCCGTTAATGTTAATTAATCATTAAGGGATGAACTCCTTTGGAAGGCACATCTGATAACGCATGCTACGATGACTACAGTTCATCCTCGGGCCCTTCTGTGCCCTCCTGCAACTCTACTCAACATCCAGGCAGAGCTCACTATCTTGTATTTATTTCTTGCAGTCGGCCAGTTTTGGAGTTGAATGCACAATTCTACATACACTAGTATGTGTCTGAAGCGTGTGAAAACAACAGCGAGAGGTCATCATCAAGTGCCATTGGTCTGAAATGAATGTTAGGACTTACTCAGATAATTCATATGATATTCAGCTTTGATTTTAAAACACTCACCATCACTTCTTCATCAAAAAGCTGCTTATTTTTCACTCCTGTTGTCAAGTGCGTCTCAAGTCTCCACTTCAGAACTGATTTATTAGCATCCAGCGACAACAAGCAATTTTCATGTAGTTGTAAGCTGCATTAATATTTTGAAAGGTGGGAGCTGGTTGCTGAAACCACGCCCACCTAGCTCGACGCCGTCACTCAAGTGGCCACACCCTTAATTATGCAGAACTTTAAGGCTTAATATAATTTAAATGGATGAGTTATAAAAAAATTTACTCCCCTCACAGTTGTCATGAAGGGCAAAATTAGCTATATAGACCAAAATCACCACAAAAAATTTTTTGTACCAGGCTGTAAACATTTTTCTGCTGTAAAGTTGGGCATTTTAACATGGGGAGTCTCTGGGACTGACTCCCTTTTGGAGCCAGCCTTTAGCGGCCAGTCGATGAATTGCAGTTTTAGTCACTTCCGTGTTGGTTTCACAAGAGCCCGGAAAGGTAGCCACTTGGATGCTGCAGATGTGTCTGCAGTCTCTCACAATTCATTCGTGAAGTGTTTAATGAAAAATTAAACCAATGTCCAAAAACAAAAAGTCAGCAAAACTTTACCTTTAAAATGTCAAGTCTTTGCTTCTCACTTGGAGCCATAAACACAGCCACTATGTTTTCATAAAAACTAGTCTGATGTTTAGGATTCAAATTAGACTGTACCAAGTTTTTAATGTAACTGACAAAGCAGAAAACACTACATGCAATCAAAACTTGGTGGGCGAGAAATTAGAGAACTGGTGAAACCATTCCATACGGTTTATGCAATCGGCAGCAGATCTAAGCAGGCTTCGGAGTACTTTTCATGAATTATTCGTCCCATTACCTTTTTGTTTGTCTGGAGAGAATACTATACTCCAACAGCATGAAAAGCAACACTTCACAATAAGGTTCAATTCATTAATGCATTTGGGTATCACAAACAATCAATAATAATGAGTGTATAAAAATGCCCTTAAAGTAGTTAAAAAGCACTAATTCATACATGAAATTGTAAAAAAAATCAAATAGGAGAAATTAACATTAAAAAGATTTGCAGGACTCCATTGATATTTCATACCTTGTGTTAACTTTTTTTATAAAATTGTGAATTTGTTCATACATGAAATTAAAACAGCTAACAGTAGAAATTAACATTAAAAAAAAAGTTGTTCGTTGTTTTTTCATGACACCCTAATATATTAACTGTTAACATACATAATCTTAATTGTATTGTCAAAGGAACCTTGTACATTTTGAAATGATCATCAGTATAGACACGGACCTCATCCCTTTTACCGCATCCTACCTTTGACAATCTTTTGAATGCTCAATTGTAAATACTCAAAACAGGCTTCATCTGAAAGAGGAGTTCAGCGAGTAAACCTGTAGACTGGTTAACTTGTTACTCCTGGCATATTGTTTCATAAGATTTCATAAATATGGATTAAACTTGTTTGGTCAAAAACAGACAAACAGTTGAGTTTCAGTCCAAGTTTTAATTACGGTTACAAGACTGATCATAAAGGACACCAAATTACAAAATCCTGCGTAACATGAAGCCATAAAAGATTAAAACTAAAACCGAATGAGGATGATTCATGTGCTATTTTAAGGGTGGTCTTCCAGTGTCTGTCAAACAGAAGTGGGCGGAGTCATTAACTACACCGCTTCTTCAAATCAGACAGACCACCAGGCTCAAGATGCATGGATAGGCTCATAAAATGTTAACGCAACCATTACAATGACATTTCTTTGACGTATAAGAATAATAAAAAAGAAAATCACTCCGTCATTTCTAGTATATTAACAATTACCTGTTAGAACAGATGCCCATAATTTGTCATGCCAACTTTAAGAAACATTTTACAGTGAAGCCAAAAACATTTTACATATAAGCTAATCAAAAGGCCTAAACACAATGAATTGGTGCCACCATGTGGTCACCGTGTCTAACTGCTTGAAAGATTGAGTAAATAAAAAAAACATACGCCATACACCTCAACCCCCTCGATTCGTGCTTTCTTCAGTCAATGCCGGCCCATGTCAGGAACAGAGGCTAGACAGGTCAAAACAGTGCTTGCTAGAGCTGATGTAGCGACAAATGGGACAGACAGACAGACATGGAGAGTTCAGAGGTTCTTAATTTGAGATTGATCTCAGTCACTGTCAAACTTAATGGAGTTCACCGAGGTGGAGATTGCGCCGCCTCTATAACTGCCACGCTTCTTCTTGGTCTTCTCATGCCGGAAAGATTTGCCCTTAGTAAATTTAAGCACGCTGTTGGCCTTCTGGCCCCAGTCACCGTTGGCTCCCATCTAGAAGTAAGAAGAGTCGAACGAATTAAAGCACTATACGTGCACAAAAACTCCTTACAGTAAACGTTGACCTAGTATGCATTAGGGGTTGAACGACTTCTGATTTTTTGAAGTCGACTTTTATGTGATGAAAGTCGCTGATGACGTCATTAATGAACAAATAAGTCTGGAGCTGTGATAAACAGCTTGTGCACAGCTATGGTATATGACACAGCGCTGCCCACATGGCTGTTGTTCCTATAACAGCTTTTTTATCAGTTCTTGTGTCTTTGGGTCGTTATATTTCTCACAGATTTCTGCTCATTCTAAATCGGATACTTTTTATGTTGTACTGTTCTCTGAGGTCCATTTATAATGCTATCAACATTTTTACATAGAAATTAGCTTCTTGTAAAAAATTTTTTTTTTTTTTTTGTTACTTTTGAGGCGTCAGTTTTTACTGAGACTTTCAATGGAGGGACACAGCAATCACTCGGATTTCATTAAACATTGTAATTTGTGTTTCGAAAAATAAACTAATATCTTGGGGTTGGAACAACATGGCGAGTAAATGATAATTTTCATTTTCGGTGAACTATCCCTTTAACACTTAAAGGATGTAAAGCACCAGTGCTGCTTGTATCAAAAGCAAGATTCACTGGATCAACAAATACTAACATATCGACTTCAGTGTTACTTCCAGGTCAGGTCTTGCCAGGAACCAGAACCGCCCACCTCCAGATTCCCAATTTGACCCCTGGGTGTGTTTGAATATGCACTGTACAAGAGCCAACATCAACACAAGCATGCTCACAATCACAGCCCTTTACCTTCTGTTTGGTTCTGGGAAAAGTCTGAGGTGTGGATGTGGCGATTTTTGTATTCTTGGGTGTTGTCGTTTCTTCCTCTTTGCCCTTTTTTTTGCTCTTTGTGCCTGCGATCAGAGGAGAGAAGCGAAAAACCAAATGGGAGTGGTTTACAATGGTGCTGAAGGCTAAAGGCTTTAGAAGATGATAAATATCAACAGTTTAACACTGATGTGGAGGCATCAGATGGAACAAATGCCTTCTCTTCCAAGCTAATCTGAGTGTGTTGACTTGACCTGCCACAAGCAATATGACATTTGTTTGAATGGGTGGCTTTTATGGCTCCATTCCAAACTGAGCGTCCTACATAGGCAGCGATTCAAGTCATCACAGGTGTGCTACCAATTTTTATCCAAGACGTCAGATAAAACCATAAGAACCTGGAGTGCAAATAACTCAATACCAAAGTAGTATTTATAAAACTGACCATAATATTTGCACGTGACGTCTCACACATAAAAGTCATGTTTTTTTACAATAACATGACAAGTTAAACTTAAGTCTCAAGACTGCGCTGCCCTTTATCAAGCATAAAGCGCTGAGTGGTGCTTTACCATCACAGGCGAAATTTGACAGGTTTGATTTTAAGCGTTTACGTAACACATTCAAAGTAATAAAAACTCTCACACATAAAAGTCATGTTTTTTTACAATAACATGACAAGTTAAACTTAAGTCTCAAGACTGCACTGCCCTTTATCAAGCATAAAGCGCTGAGTGGTGCTTTACCATCTCTTGGAGCATCACAGGCGAAATTTGACAGGTTTGATTTTAAGCGTTTACGTAACACATTCAAAGTAATAAAAATGGGCTTGTGAACCAGTAACACAAAACACCTTGCTATCAGATATATTGAGTCCTGCAAATACCGTTTGTTGTGGCGGGAGTCTTGGCCGTCGTTTCCTCTTCCTCCGATGAAGAGTCCTCAGACGAGCTGCTGTCTGCTTTGGCCTTAGCAGCCTGTGCTTTTGTAGCAGGTGGCGTTTTCGCAGCTGGTGTTTTAGGCGACTCTTCTTCATCAGAACCGCTGTCACTCGAGGATGAAGACTCTGCTGTCTTTTTAGCCGGCGTTTTTGCTGCAGAGGTGGGGGTTTTTGTTGTAGCAGCCTTTCCGTTGGTGACTGCAGGCTTGGCGGGAGTCTTCTTAGCCTCGGTCTCAGAGTCTGAGCTGTCAGATTCAGAGCTACTGCTCTTGGCTTTCTTCGCACTAACTGGAGTCACGGCCGGCTTAGCTGCTGCTGCTGCTTTGGGCGTCTTCACAGTCTTCACCTTCTTCTCGTCTTCACTGGAGCTGTCCGAATCACTGCTGCTGGACTCAGCTGCTGGAGCAGGTGGTTTGGAGGCAGGGGCAGGGCTCTTAGTAGTAGCAGCCGCTGCTGGTTTAGCTTTCTTTGCAGCTGGAGTCTCGTCTTCAGAGTCAGAGCTGTCGGTTTCAGAGTCAGAACTGCTATCGGCTGGTTTAGCTGCAACTGCAGGTTTAGCTGGGGTGCCGGTTTGGATACTGGTCTGCTGGCAGGTTTCTTTTGAGGTTCTTCATCTGAAGAGCTGTCCGAGTCAGAGCTGGATTCAGCATTGGCTGGGGCAGGTTTTGCTGGGGTAGCAGGTTTGGATACCGGTCTGCTGGCAGGTTTCTTTTGAGGTTCTTCATCTGAAGAGCTGTCCGAGTCAGAGCTGGATTCAGCGGGCTTGGCTGCAGGTTTAGGAGTGCTCGAAGGCTTGGACTTTGCTGCTGGTTTGGCAGGTGCCTCATCCTCAGAGCTGTCTGAATCGGTGCGAGATAAAATAGATCTATAAGCTAATACAATCTTGATAAACAGCAACCAAATTTCTCTAGAACTCTGAATTCACTCAATATTTCTAAATGTAAATGACTAGGGCTACCAAGCTCCAAAAAAGAAAGCTTAGGGCTTCAGAAAAATTGGGCCTGGAAGTTGTAGAAACTTCTTTGTATGGAAAAAGAGCATCATGAACATTCTTCAAAACATCTCTATTTGTGTTCCATATATGCCAATAATACATGCTGCAAATGACATGAAGGCAAGTAAATAATGATTAAATGCAAACGCTGTATCTTTATGGATGTGATGACAACCGACCTGAACTTGAGGAATCGTCTTTCTTAGCAGGGGTTGTCTTTGGAGGAGCAGCTTTAGCAGGAGCAGCCTTGGCTGGGGTTGGTTTTGTGGCCGGTTTGTCTTCCTCCGACTCGGAGCTAGATGATGACGATTCTCTTGCAGCGGGCTTGACTTTAGCTGGCGTTTTCTTGGCTGGCGCAGGTTTAACAGGGACAACTTTAGCTGCCGGTTTCTTGGCCGCCTCCTCCTCATCGTCAGAGTCTTCTGAGCTCGAAGATGAAGACTTGTCTGCAGCCGGGGTGACTTTAGCAGGTGTGGTTTTAGCTTGAGCAACTTTTGCAGGTGTAGATTTAGCAGATGCAGCTTTTGCCGGTGTGACTTTGACAGCTGGCTTTGCTGCTTCATCCTCTGAGCTTGAAGAATCTGAACTCGAAGAGTCCTTTTTCTGAGCAGGAGCGACCTTTTTAGGTGCTTTCTTAGCTGGGGCTGCTTTAGCCGGAGCAGCTTTGGCAGCTGGTTTAAAAAAAGCATAATGAATACGAGTAACTGTAAGATTGATTATTGTAGCAAAAAACAGAGCAAATAGTTTTCTCTGTAAAGGGTTCTTAACTAAAATATTAAACTTTAAATTAGCTGAAAGTTAACATTTCAACTATGTTTTTCTTAAGGATACGTCTATCTTGGGGCCAGACATGCAAATTAATCAGTGCTATATCTTTGTATAATACATAATCTTTTATCTTATTTTGTGCCGAAATTTTGCTTTTTTTGTACTATGCTTAAATACAGTTATTCATAAAATGATTGTATTACAAATATAACTTACAGCTGATTGAAAAAAAAAAACATGTAAAATTGAATTCTATATTAATGCACCATGCTGCTTCACATCATTGAAGGTCTGTAAAAATCTATGGATAAATGTTTACTTTGATTATTATTGCAACCATTATAACACCCCTTAACTAAACACCACTGCAATGCACAGCTTCTCATGGCTTATTGCTGTAGTAACTCATACAGGACACTTCAAACTCTTACCAGGGGCTTTGGCTGGAGCGGTCAGTGTTCCAGGGGGCGGGACGGCATTGAATTGTCCTGTAAATAGAGATGCTCTTCAGTTTCATGTTTGTCTCCTCTTTTTCAGAAACTCACTTTTGTCCTCTCACTTTTAAGATTTCTTAACATGTTCAAATGAGGCATGCTTAGGACTCATTCATGGCCCAAAAAAGCAGGTTAATTGTTGAGATCACTTGATCCAGTAAATAAAGCGTAATGACGCACCCATGGTGATAGTTTTCAGTATAAAGTCCAAGATCACTGTAATACTGGTTGTTTGCGAACACTGATATATGCCAGCAAATCCCATTTCTTAATGCACCTTTAAGATCGACCGATGTGAAAGAAAAGTAGTAATACCAGTCTTGGGTTTCTTAGTAGGAGGTGCATCTTCCTCATCGGAGGATGACTCCTCACTGCTGGAGTCTGCAGGGGCCGCGGGTTTAGCTGGAGGGGTCTTCACCGGGACTGGTGTTTTTACTGCTGTCTGTGATCAAGTAAGAGGAACTAACTGTAAATTGTGAATACTAAGCAGGCAAACAAATAAATTTTTTTATTCTGAAAAAAATAAATAAAAATAACATAGGTTCTATTATGGTTACAATTTGCAATAGAATTCTAAAGCATGATTACGTGCGAGTTATAATATGTACGCTGAAGTACCTTAGCTGGAGCCTCGTCCTCGGATTCACTTGAGCTGTCCTCACTGCTGCTACTGTCCTGCTTCTTCTGAGCTGCAGACACTGGAGTGGACGCCGGTTTAGGGGTCCCTGCCACAGGCTTGGTCTTTGCTCCTGGAGACCACAGATCACCACTTTGAACATGTAACTTACTTTGAACATTTATACCTTAAAATATTAACTCTAGTGGTGTCGAAATTAATCGTTGCATCGATGCATGCGGACATGGACAATTCTGCATCGATGCAGTAATATACCATAATCGATTATAGCCTTCTGACGTCATTTGCATACGTGCATGTCACGCGAGTATTAAAAATGCACTCTATTTTAAAATCTGAGCTTGGTTTTTCCCCGCACATGGCACGTGTGCGCGCACTAGAGAGAATTGCCGCAGGCTTCATTGCACAGAATGTGTGCTGTGAGTTAGGGTTGGGTGTCGTTTGAATTTTAGCAATTCCGATTCCGCTTATCGATTCCCAGTTTAGATTCCAATGTGATTAAATAATGATGTCAAACATTTATCCTGTCTCTCTTTTTTGCAAACCATTTAGTTGCAGCTGAATACCATGAACAAAAAACAACAGGCTACATAAAAACTGGACTCTTTAAGAGCTGTTTGTGAGCAAAATAGAACTGCATGATTCTGGATAAATTTAGGTTTTTTTTCCCCCCAATGGAAGTTGTGGTTTAACTCTAGTGGTGTCGAAATTAATCGTTGCATCGATGCATGCGGACATGGACAATTCTGCATCGATGCAGTAATATACCATAATCGATTATAGCCTTCTGACGTCATTTGCATACGTGCATGTCACGCGAGTATTAAAAATGCACTCTATTTTAAAATCTGAGCTTGGTTTTTCCCCGCACATGGCACGTGTGCGCGCACTAGAGAGAATTGCCGCAGGCTTCATTGCACAGAATGTGTGCTGTGAGTTAGGGTTGGGTGTCGTTTGAATTTTAGCAATTCCGATTCCGCTTATCGATTCCCAGTTTAGATTCCAATGTGATTAAATAATGATGTCAAACATTTATCCTGTCTCTCTTTTTTGCAAACCATTTAGTTGCAGCTGAATACCATGAACAAAAAACAACAGGCTACATAAAAACTGGACTCTTTAAGAGCTGTTTGTGCGCAAAATAGAACTGCATGATTCTGGATAAATTTAGTTTTTTTTTCCCCCCCAATGGAAGTTGTGGTTCTCTAATGATTCTGAAGAAAAAAAACATTAGACAACTAAACAAAATCGCATGTAATTTATGAATGAATGATTAAATGACTCACTCAAGATGTACTTGTTCCATTACTGGATGAATCAGCGTTCTTGAACGAATCTCTTTTATGATTCAAAGACAAATACATTTTAACAGCCCCTTTTCGCCACCTACTGGCGTAACATTGACTACGTTCCAATTATCGTACGATCTAATTATTAACCTTATTCTAAATAAGCCAATATTATGATTATGGTGTGTACATGAGTTGCTTTTAGAATATTCCTTTCATGTTCTCGTTTTACATGTTATAGTACATAGTTCGATTAATGGCGCACGTCATTACGTCCCATTTGACGTCCCCTCCGGAATTTCACATATAAACATAATTCTTCTTCGTGATGATGCCATGTACAGTTTTGGGTGTTGCATTTTTAATTTTATGAAAGCTTCAATGCAGTTAATTATTTGTACGTGCATACAGACGACGGAGGTGTTGAAGCTCTTTTATTTGCCGTCAAACGGTTGAGTACTGCCGTGTGTGTATCCTGCCGCAAAATGTGGCGAAAAGTCCTACACAACGGTAATAATGTGATTAAGGTGTTTACATGTCTATTCTGCACTTCAGTAATGCGACTAAAATAGACATACTCCACATGTCTTAATTCGATTTCGGTTTACTTCGAATATGACTTTAGCCGGATTAAGGTAATCAAAAATCTCTGTTTACATGGTAGATTCTTAAAGGGATAGTTCACTCAAAATGCACGCACGGAATCCAGATATAATTTTTTATTTTTTTTTACTAGTGGGTGCAGGACACTATTGCTCATTTATGTAAGCGAGTATAGCAAAATAAACTAAACTGTGATAAATTATACCCCAAAATTCTTCATACTACCAGTAAAACTGATACAAATTTGGGACCAAAAATTATTCAGACCGAGTTTGGGAAAAAAAAATTGAAGTTGAGGTTTGCATGAAGCTGGGTGACAGCATGCCCAGGAGACTACAGGCTAAGGGCTGCCCGACAAAGTATTGATAGTTGTGTAAATACTGTCATACTAACAGCTGTCTGAATAATTTTTGGTTGATTGTAATCTATTACATACCTTTCTATCAAAGTTATCTAACATTATCAAGCTGAATTTGTTCTGACACAGTTTGACTCAATTCTTGTTATATGTTACCATCTTCTAAACTATAGCGAATAATCTGTGATAATGTGAGAAATGTTGAAGGTGTCTGAATAAATTTTGGTTTAACTATCTATTTGATAAATGAAGTCAACCAACTAACATTATACATACTCTTTGTTTTTGTAAAATATATAAAATATTGGTATCGGTACTCGGTACCGGCAAGTACCAAAAATAAAAGTATCGGTATCGAAAAGTGGTATCGGTGCATCCCTACTTGTAACACAGAAATAATGATACTGTGTGGCTGAAAAGACTGTGAAGCCGTTTCATTCATGACAGACAGCTGCTCTCTTCAGCTCACCTGTTGCTGGAGTTTTGGCCGGCTCCTCCTCAGAGTCTGACTCCTCACTGCTGGAACTGGCGTCTTTCTTCCTGGCTGCTGCTGCAGGCTGAACAGCAGGTTTCACAGCTGCAGGCTTCTGTGCACCAAACAAACAAGACCCAGATTCAGAAGAGGCATCCTAGCAGAGTCATACCACACAAGCTCACATAAACAGCATGCAGCTTCCTGACCTTTGCTGCCGTTTTAGCCTGAGCTTCTTCTTCCGAGTCGCTGGAGTCTTCAGAGCTACTGCTCTTTTTAGCAGCTACAGCTGCTGGCTTCTTTGGAGCAGGAGCTTTCGCTGTCAAATACCAAGTCATTCATATCAAAGTTAAATACTTAATGGAGTGTTTAAACATACACTACTGCACAAAATTTGAGGTCAGTAAGATTTTTTTTAAAGAAATTAATACTTCTATTCAGGAAGGATGTGTTTAAAAGAACATTAAGACATGTTTCTTGAGCACCACATCTGCATATTAAAATTATTTCTGAAGGGTCATGTGACACTGAAAACTGGAGTAATGATGCTGAATATTCAGCTGTGCCATGACAGGAACAAACTACATTTTAAAGGGGTCATATGATGCGATTTCAAGTTTTCCTTTCTCTTTGGAGTGTTACAAGCTGATTGTGCATAGATAAGATCCCTGAAGTTGCAAAGACTAAAGTCTCAAAACCAAAGAGATATTCTTTATCAAAGTTAAGACTCTGCCACGCCCCCCTAAAACGGCTCGTTCTAACACGCCCCCACATGTCTACCTCACTATGTGGAAATATTTGCATAATGCTGCCCAAATGTACATGCAAAGAAAGGTGTGGTTTCAGTAACCGCAGTTAAGTGTTTTAGCTGCATTTAGGAATCTTTAAGATCACTTAGAACAGCAATGGGGAAGTCGTGGCCTAATGGTTAGAGAGTCGGACTCATAACCCAAAGGTGGAAGTTGAAATATTTCAACGCACCCAAAACTCAAATCTGATAAGAGAATGCCTTCAAAACTCTGTAATAAAGTCTATATTATAGGCATTTAAAAGGTATTTTAGTTTAAAAAACCTGTAATATTGAGTTAAATTAATATTATAAACACAAACCAACATATTCGTACCTGTGAAAGGTTATCCAGTTTCTTCAGGAATTTAAATTTAGGCAGTTATTACAACCAAATGCTACGCAATGCTGTTGCATCTTGAAACTTGTTTATTGTTGTGATGATAAACCGTTCCAAGATGGCGAATGTGTATCTCGTATCAGGAGCGGTCGAATGTGGCATCTATACATATCCATGGCACAGCCTGTGTAGTTTGAGTCCCGAACGAAAGACTCAAATGACTCGGTTCTTTTGTGAATCAAAACATACAGCATTCAACTGTATTTATGACAACGTCTAGTTAAACTAAATTTGCTTAAAGGGGTCATATGATGCGATTTCAAGTTTTCCTTTCTCTTTGGAGTGTTACAAGCTGATTGTGCATAGATAAGATCCCTGAAGTTGCAAAGACTAAAGTCTCAAAACCAAAGAGATATTCTTTATCAAAGTTAAGACTCTGCCACGCCCCCCTAAAACGGCTCGTTCTAACACGCCCCCACATGTCTACCTCACTATGTGGAAATATTTGCATAATGCTGCCCAAATGTACATGCAAAGAAAGGTGTGGTTTCAGTAACCGCAGTTAAGTGTTTAACTGGCCTAATGGTTAGAGAGTCGGACTCATAACCCAAAGGTTGCGAGTTCGAGTCTCAGGTCCGGCAGGGATTGTAGGTGGGGGGAGTGAATGTACAGCGCTCTCTCCCACCTTCAATACCACGACTGATGTGCCCTTGAGCAAGGCACCGAACCCCCAACTGCTCCCCGGGCGCCGCAGCATAAATGGCTGCCCACTGCTCCGGGTGTGTGTTCACTGCTGTGTGTGTGCACTTTGGATGGGTAAATGCAGAGCACTAATTCCGAGTATGGGTCACCATACTTGGCCACACGTCACTTCACTCACTTCAATGCATTTGAGGGACTTTGTTGAAAACGAAGCGTTTGAGAGAGGCGGGGCATAGAGGACCTACAATAATGTGCAGTATTTGAAAAATAATGTGTTTTTTGAACATTAAAGCATGTCAACATATTCTGTTACACCAAATAATGATCTTTAAAAAAAGCATCATATGACCTCTTTAAAATATATAAAAAGAAAAACTTATTTTAAATTGTAATAATATTTAGTTACACTTTATTTTAAAGGTGTCCCTGTTAGTGTAATTATATATTCAAGTACCGCGGAATATTAACTACATGTACTTACTACATGGTTAGGGTTTGTCTTAGTGCTACTTGCATGTAATTATGCATACTTTATTGTTATTATAATAACAGTACATGTAAGATGTGGAACAAGGACACCTTAAAATAAAGCGTTACCTAATAGTTTGCAACAATACTGATTTTGTATTTTTGATCAAGTAAATACAGCCTCGGTGAGCTGAGCATAAGAGAAACAGCTCTGTACCTTGTACGGCTTTCTTGGCAGGTGCTGCAGCTTCCTCTTCACTGCTGGAGTCCTCACTACTTGAACTCACCGCATCTTTCTTTGCTTTCTTGGCCGATGGGCCGTTGACCGCCGCAGGGCCACTGGTGACCGCTTTGCGCTTTTTGGTTTCTGGGGACCTTGAGCGGGCAAATCGTAGTAAGCACAAGCCAACAGTGGAAATGACAGCCAAACTACAGGTATATGACCAAGAGTGACCTACAGCTGCCATTCAAACAATTACAAGACACAGCTTGTACATACTTCACCCAAAAATTGAAGATGTCCAGGAGACTGTCCTCATTTTGGTCTTGAGGTTTCTAATGAGATGAAACAGACACAATTGTAAATCACATATATAGAGAAAGAGAGAGAGAGAGAGAGAGAGAGAGAGTTTACATGAGGTAAAATCAAATCAAAAAGCTAAGACTTCTGTGGCTACACAACACGTGTGTGAATCATTAACTTAGGTTATTTGGACATTTTTGATGTCTTGTTGACTTTGTTCTCCCTTCGCATTTTCTTGTTTCTCAACTTTTGTTGTATAATTGTATAATTCTTAATATAAAGACAACAGACCCGCACTAATGCTGTTGAAAAGCCAAACTTAAAAGAATCATGATGAATAATTCATTAGAAAATGTGTGAGGAAAAACTAAGCTGTAAGGACACGGGTCAAAATGATACAAAGCCCGGCCGGAATTAAGCGTATTTAAACACATGCTACACAGCAGCTCATAAACACGTGTCCCCGCGCGCCGATAGACTCGTTACAGCTCTACTGCTCCCGCGCACGCGAGGGGTTATAGTAAACACGTAAAAGGGCTCTTACCACTTTAGCCTGCTTTAAGAACTCTTTCGCGGCTTTGGCGAACTTATTTCCCACGAGAAACGAGTACACATGCTGGTAGAGATCGCTGGGGACCGTGCCGCCCTGCGCCATCTTCGTTCGCTCGTGTGGAGGAGGAGGAGCGCGATTGGCTATTTCACCGTCACGTGGCGTCGCTGGAAATGGCGCACAGTAAGTGCGTCACACTACGTACACGAGCGCATTACGCAGTAATAAATATTAATATTGTTTATTTGCGGTCTGTTTGGTAAGTACAGAGATTAATGTTATTAAACCCACTATATATATATATATATTTATTATGCTGTAATTTACCTTAATTTGTTTCCAATTGCAACAAATAGTTGAAAATCAATTTTTTATTAATTTTTTTAAATATATGGAGCAGTTTACTGAAACTTCGATTTCATATGGGTTTTTTTTAATGTTTTGTGTCATGTATTGTACATCAGGCTTTTATGGCCTTTATAGTGCAATAAGGAGCACACACCCAAGAAGGAAAAATCACCTCAATTTTATTTGGAGGCCCAAGCTGAACAAAAATATGCAATTTGGTGCAGAAGTTATTATTTATATGTGGGTCAATATCACTGTAGGGTGCCTTTTGGTGTCCTGTACATAAATAACTCATTTGCCATGATAACTTAACATAAAAATGACTATGAAAGGGTGTGTGTTATATTAGGCTAAGTTTTTATATTCATAACAAAACTTTCTGTGTTTTAGTTTTGTGTAAGAGGATGCGTGTTATTTTGCTATGTCCCATGCACTGCTCATTCCATTCGAATGATAGTAGAATATTGTCAAATCATAACATGTAAACATTTTGTTCTCCTATGAATATTTTGTTAAATTAGAGATTACTCAATTTGAGTGTATTGATCATTTGGTAATAAAACGATAGTTTTATTTAATAAAAAAGAAGAGTTTGTCCATGTCCCTTGAATGGTTGTCCACCCTGTCGTATTGGGGAATCCGCCGCTTTAAGAAAAGGCCATCCATTTTAGTGACAACAGGGCTGCGTTCAGCTCCGACAAAACGGTGCAAAACGTGTTTTAAACGGAAACGGTGGTGCGTTGAACGCGCTGTTCTGATGAGCAAGAGTTGCAGCTACGGCGGCTGAGAAGGCCATTCTTTGTGTTCTTTTGAAGAACTTTCGGAGCCTGATGAAATCGGTATAAATACGTGTTTAATACTGCAAAATACGCTCGATGGTACAGTCACTGCCCTTGCCGTCCAGAATAAAAGAGAACATCCCAATCCAGTGAAGGGATTTGTGCAAACTGTGCTTCCTAATTATTGTGATCCAACATGTGCCTCGCATTTCAGGTGAAGGATAACTCCGACAAAACGGTGCAAAACGTGTTTTAAACGGAAACGGTGGTGCGTTGAACGCGCTGTTCTGATGAAGCAAGAGTTGCAGCTATGGCGGCTGAGAAGGCCATTCTTTGTGTTCTGTTTGAAGAACTTACGGAGCCGGATGAAATCGGTATAAATACATGTTTAATACCGCAAAATACGCTCGATGGTACAGTCACTGCCCTTGCCCTCCAGAATAAAAGAGAACATCCCAATCGAGTGAAGGGGTTTGTGCAAACTGTGGTTCCTAATTATTGTGATCCAACATTTGCCTCGCATTTCAGGATGAAAAGACAAACAAGAAAAGTTTATGAAAGTGTCACTCCACAATACAATAGCAAAATATATAAATATGTATAGTATTTTTATGTTACATTAATCAGTGTCTAGCACACCTTCCTAAGGAAAGGATATGGACCAGAAGACATTGCAATTACTAAATGATATTTAGACAGACCCAGATCTATACTTGTGCCCTTATTATTTGTTTAGTTCAGTCTGTGGTGTGAAATGGTCGCTTTTTTATCAATTTAAAAAAACACTGTCAGGTCAAAGTGTCTGAATCATTTCGGTTATTTTGCCTTTAATGTAAATAAGCATGTGCAAACAATATACTTGCTCTTGTGAATTTATTTGGATGTTAATTATATATATATATATATATATATGATTTTTTTTTACTAGTGGGTGCAGGACACTATAGTTAATAGCTAAACTGATCAAAAATTTGGGACCAAAAATGATTCAGACACTTTGACCTGACAGTGTTTTTTTTAATTGATAAAAAAGCGACCATTTCACACCACAGACTGAACTAAACAAAGTATTGATAGTTGTGTAAATATTGTCATACCATCAGTTGTCTGAATCATTTTTGGTTGATTGTAATCCATTACATGCCTTTCTACTAAAGTGCTATGACATTATCAAGCTGATTTTGTTCTGGCACAGTCCTTGCCATATTTTATTACCATCTTCTAAACTATAGCGAATAAACGGTGATAATGTGAGGAATGTTGAAGGTGTCTGAATAAATGTTGTTTTGACTGTAAGTTGACGAAGGTCATCAGGAGGTATGCAGTGTAACACTCCCATGCTGTAGGTGGCGCACTGCATCAAACTCCCCGTGTGTCTCCACCACAGTATCTCCCTGATGAAGACACACATGCGCCTCTGTGACAGCTGTCCACTGACGGTCATTTACTCTTCCTGAGCTCGGTGGCCCCTCCGTGCAGACAGCGCCGGGAGATGCCGCGGTATGAGCTGTGTGTGATCCTGAAGGCGATGCAGAGGCCGGAGACCGCGGCGGTGCTGCGGCGCACGGTGGAGACGCTGCTCGAGCGCGGCGCACTGGTCAGGAGTCTGGAGAGCCTCGGCGAGCGCAGGCTGCCCTACAAGATCTCCAAACACGACTCTCGCCACACGCACGGCGGATACTTCTCCGTCGACTTCCACGCCTCGCCGAAGACCGTCAGCGAGCTGCTCGGTCACCTGGAGCGGGACATTGACGTGCTGCGCCCCACAGTTTTAAAGAAAGACCCCGAGCTGTCCCAGGCGCAGTGCTGTGGAGCACAAGCTGAGAGAGCGAAGAGTGCCACTTCCAGATAAACGTGAGAATCATTGAGTTTTCCTGATCTGTTTTTACTTTGAGGGTAACGTTAGGGATGATGCGTTTAGAGAGTAAAAAAGAAACTAAGATCAAACAATGGACGGAATGTTTTGAATGAAGTAGTGCTGTCAAACGATTAATCGCGATTAATCGCGTACGAACTAAATGTTTTTGTTCACATAATATATGTGACCATGGACAACCAAATCATGATGAATAAATAAGCTTTCCATTGATGTATGGTTTGTTAGGATCAGACAATATTTGGCTGAGAAACAACTATTTGAAAATCTGGAATCTGAGGGTGCAAAACAATCAAAATATTGAGAAAATCGTCTTTAAAGATGTCCAAATGAAGTTCTTAGCAATGCATATTACTAATCAATTATTACGTTTTGATGTATGTACAGTAGGAAATTTACTAAATATAGTCATGGAACATATAGGCAGAGGCGGACAAAGCACTCAACTCCATTACTTGAGTGAAAGTACAGATACTGTTCAGTTTTTCTTTTTTAATAAATCTGCAAAAATGTCAACAATTCTGTGTTTTTCTGTCAATATGGTGTGCTGTGTGTACATTAATGAGGGAAAAAAATAACTTAAATGATTTTAGCAAATGGCTGCAATATAACAGAGTGAAAAATTTAAGGGGGTCTGAATACTTTCTGTACCCACTGTATATAAATAAATAAATAAATATTTAACACCCCTACCCACCCCCACAAAAGCAGGAGGTAGTGATCTCACACCGCTCTGACAGTGTGTAGCCATTCAATTATGGGATTACAATTCTGCCACAATTCAGAAAATTGTGGCAAAACTCCACAAAACTCAGTTCGCGTACGTGCAAAACGCACTTTTGCGTGCTCAAAATATGATCTTTCGCGCAGAATTGTGGCAGAATTGTAATCCCATATTCAATCACATTTGAACAGAGTGGACAGTGAAATCCTGTAAATACAGTGATAAGGAAGAAACAAAATCAAACTTGCTTTAAAACCCAGCAACACAACTGTAACAAAACAGCAAGACTTATTTGACATCAAAACAAAAATATTAAAAATGCTGTCTAATCGTTCTCGCTGTACTTTGATGTCACACACAGAATGGTCTGCGCAGTGCTGCTTCAAGTCCAACACCTTTTGTGTTTTATTAGGAGATGCACAACAGTTCATCTGTGGCTTTATAGGTAATATTTTCACCTACACAATTGAGCAAAATCAGACAATATTGTGTCTAATATATACCACAATATTAACTTCTTATTATTGAATTGTTATAAATAAATATCACATTTGCAACTGGTCAGTGTTCAAAAAATGCTGGGAAATCTCTTCATGTAGCCCTACAAGAGTGATTACTGATAAACTGTCTGAAAAAAAAAAAAAGTCAAATTTTAGAGAAGAAAAAAATCACCCACTGACTTTCAAAGCTGCTACATAGTAACGACTTTCTACTTCGAGGACCTTGATAGAAATGTAGTGGAGTGAAAAGTACAATATTTGTCTTTCAAATGTAGTGAAGTTAAAGTCATAAGTTCCCAGAAAAAAATAATACTCAAGTAAAGTACAGATACTCAAAAAGTGTACTTAAGTACAATACTCAAGTAAATGTACTTAGTTACTGTCCGCCTCTGCATATAGGGCTGCACAATTAATCGAATTTCTAATTGCGATTACAATTATGGATGCCACAATTAAATAATCGTTCAAAGCGGCAATTAATTGTTCCGAGTCCACTTATGTTATTCTGCACGCTTAAGATATGTTTTTTTCTTTCTACATGTTATCTTAAAGGTTTTTCCCCATTATTTTATTTTTACCATTCATATTTTTACTTTTTTATCATTTAAAGAAGAAACCAATCCGATGTATAGTTGACATTTGAGGCTTAAGTTTTTTCAGTTAGTGTGTTTTCAGCTTGTTTAATTTCTTATAAAAATACGGCATGCAGTTGCATCAAACAATGGTATAAACATCATTCAATGTAAATTGTGATAATCGTAATCGCAATTACAATTTCAAGGGAATAATTGACAATTATGATTTTTGTCATAATCGTGCAGCCCTAATGGAACATGATCTTTACTTAATGTCCTAATGATTTTTGGCATAAAAGAAAAATCTATAATTTTGACCCATACAATGTATTTTTGGCTATTGCTACAAAT